TAATGTACAATACTAAAACAGTAGAAATAAGGATAAAATTTTTATAAGTTCGCCTGAGCCAAACGCTCAAGTGAGCTTTTCTGATCACATTTTGTCCGGCGTCCGTCTCTCTAGCTGTCCGTCTGTCTGTCTGTAAACTTTTCACATTTTCGACTTCTTCTCGAGAACCGCTGGGCCAATTTCAACCAGACTTGCTACATCCTTGGGTGAAGGGGATTCAAGTTTGTTCAAATGAAGGGCCACGCCCTCATTCAAGGGGAGATAATTGGGAATTAATGAAAATTTGTTGGCATGATTTAAAAATCTTCTTCTCAAGAACCACTGTACCAGGAAAGATGAAACTTATGGAGAAACATCCTCGGGTAGTGTAGATTCAAGTTTCATCAAATCATGACCCATGGGGGTTGGGCTGGGCCAAAATGGCCGACCAAAGTTTTACATAGAAATATATAGGAAAATTCTTTAAAAATCTTCTTCTCAAGAATGACAAAGCCATAGTTGATCATATTTATATGGAAGCATCCTCATGTAGTGTAGATTCCATTTTGTTCAAATCATGACCCCCGGGGGTAGGGCGGGGCCAAAATGGCCGACCAATGTTTTACGTAGAAATATATAGGAAAATTCTTTAAAAATCTTCTTCTCAAGAATGACAAAGCCATAATTCATCATATTTATATGGAAGCATCCTCAGGTAGTGTGGATTCAATTTGTTCAAATCATGACCCCCGGGGGTAGAGCGTTGCGAAAATGGCCGACCAAAGTTTTACTTAGAAATATATAGAAAAATTCTTTAAAAATCTTCTTCTCAAGAATGACAAAGCCATAATTCATCATATTTATATGGAAGCATTCTCAGGTAGTGTAGATTCCATTTTGTTCAAGTCATGACCCACGGGGGTAGGGCGGGGCCACAATGGCCGACCAAAGTTTTAGATAGGAATATATAGGAAAATTCTTTAAAAATCATCTTCTCAAGAATAGCAAATCCATGGTTGGTCATGGGACTACTTTTGGATTTAAACTTTTCAATAATAAACCAATTTCTACTTTTCCTAGCCACAGTGCTCAGGTGAGCGATGTGGCCCCTGGGCCTCTTGTTTAATATTTTTACAAGGCAAAGGGAAAGGCAAGAATTTCAAAGTGTGTATGTACTTTTTAGTTATCTATTTATTTATGTATACTTATTTAACTTTGGCCATCCATTGTATGCTATCAATATTTTGTACTAACGTAATTTCTAGACATACCGGTATTTCAAAAGAACATACTAGTATAAAGATCTCCAGATGAAAATCTGAAAATCAATTCTAAAAGTACAGCGATTACATATGTTATTCATTTGCCTGCTTAAAACTAAACGAGTTACATTTTTGACCACGAAATTACATTCACGGATACCAGCTGGATTTGCTTGCCCACGAACATTGAACCCCCCACCCCCCCCACCCACAAATGAAAATGCTTCCACAGTACATCTTGTGTCAATAATTAATTTTTTACACGATATTCTATAAAATGTAAAATTCATGCAAAATCTTAATATCGAATAAAAAAATAATAAGACGATATCAGGACCTTTGGAAACACAAATAGTAACATCTGAAGGCGCTTAACCTCTTTGAATTGTTACATCCCTTTTCTTGATCAGTTAACATAGTTTAGTAGAATAATTGTTAGACAAATCAGTATCTAATGCAATGATTTTACGATTGTTTTAAATATTTCAATCGACATTTGACCCTTCATAATGGCTCTTTCTTTTAAAATGGCCATGTAGCACCAATAGAATGAGGTAAAATTAGAAATTTATCGAGAATGTTGATATCTCTAACCAATTCAGTGCACCGTATTTGTCGGAACCAGCCTCAAAATGAACATTGACGTAAGGCAGAACACGTTCTTGCGTATAAAAGTAGTAATGTGGAATGAAGGTGATAATGGTTTATTACTGCATAAATGAAGGTTAAACCATTTATCATAAAGATGAGTTGTTAATCGACCAACAATGTCTTTAAAATAGTAAAATATCTACAAATAATTGATGTCCCTCAATCTGTTTTGATGTATTGCAACAACGTGCGTATGATTGGGAAATTTTTTTTTGTTGATAAACGTCGTTATGTTGAATTAAAAGGCGCACTCAAGGAGTTGAAGTTTATAAGTTAGAATTTTGCTTCATAGGAATTCGAAAAAAAAGTCAGGTACATGTAATTAAAGAACACCCAGTACTCAGAAAATTGTTCGAAGAACTGTTTTGTGATTGCTCTGAACAAATTCCCGAGAGCTTCGACCTTCAGTATAAATTGTGGAGGTCATGAACAAGACAGAGTGGCATACCATAATTTTCTGGAAAACATACTATCTCTTCACCAAATTACAGTAATCTTTACGTTTTGTCTCTAATGAATGCATATTTCTCATCCAGAAAAAAAGATTTTCATAACTAGAGATCAAGAGAATTACGTGTAAATATATTCTGAATAAGCATTAAATTTAATACAAGTGTTAATATCATTTTATTCCTTTAAAACTGGGGCAAGTTTGAATTTATACTATTCTAAATTTAATTTTTTTAATTTACCACGTAAAAAACATGTAAAAGAAGATAAAAAAGATAAAATGTGTCATTTTAAAGTTCAAATGCAAGGTGTTTTGTCTTATAGAGTGATGATTATAATCACATGTACATTTTATCGTAATTGCGTAGATGATGTTAAAATTACATTTTGCAATTATTTTTTTTTTTTTAGATATGGTTGTTGAAGAAAAATCATTTCAGAAACAGAAAAAAATATTTTGACTGTAAGCATCAAAAAATAGATTTAAATTTCATATTATGAAATGGATATTTTTAAAAGGAGAATTCAATTATAAAAAATGATTAAAATGTTTTATCATTGAAGAAATAAGTGCTGTTTCGGTATGAATGTTATATCACGTACATTGGTTAACTTTGATCTTTGATGATGAAAAGAAATTTAGATTTTATGCCTGAAAATGAAAGTTCATGATTCTATGCGTACTTTTTTTTTATAAAGTTCAACGATATTGTATTTATCATATTCATCAAATCAGACAAAACAAATTATTGTTTTTGAAAATAAACTGACGTAAGTTTCAGTATTTAATTAGATTTATTTACCAATCCAACGGTGAACATTAGAGAGTTGTTAATTTGCTCGAGAAACCACTTATCGCAATCAACACAGTCTATGACGAAAATCGTGTATAACTCCCAAATGTTGATAATGTATGCTGCTTAGAGTTGCTGTCAGTCAATATACCGTAGGTATAAACTTGGTATATGTGACCTCGGAGGCGATTGCTTATTTATCGGCTACAAGCACTGCATTGCAGCATTAGAAGGCAACCAACACGACTGTCGACAGATCTTTCTCAGGTAGGCTCTTTACAAGCATCGCCACGACACAATCTTTGGTGTCTTGTTGCTTTTTTTTTTTTTTTTTTTTTTTTTTTTTGCTTTTCAGGCAGCAAATAGTTATTATTTTGTTCTTTCTATTAAATAAAAACAGACATTTAAGAATTATTTTATATTTTGAAAAATAAATTGATGAATATGTTAAAATTGATCAGTCCATCGACCATTTAAACTTCATAAATATTTTGCTTGAGTATTGTCCTAAAAATAAAAATGGTACATGTTAATATATATATTTAAAAATAGTTTTGTTGCTTTCTACAAGAGCCCTGTGATATTTCATTGACTATATCAGATTAGAATGAAAAGCAAAGTACGATTTCCGCTAACATTTGAATGAAATTAAGTTGTAATCGCTATTTTTTTCTTCATGCTTGCTGTGCTCCCTATCTGTATTGCTATAATGGAGTTTGAAACTTGATCAAATTGTTCATTATCTTCATACTTTATATATTAAAAAAAACCTTTACATAAAACCAGAGTATGGACTAGTCAGCAAATTTAAGACAATTGTTTTTTTAAATATAAAATTGTCACAATGATGAAAGAGGAACCTTCATTATTTGTAATTGTCCAAATTCTTTTTAATCAGTAACGACGTATGTCACTGTGTCTTTAATGTCATTGGCTGTCTTGTCGGGTGTTCTTATCTAGAGTAGAGACTCTTTAAATTTTATTCCCGCTCATGATAGGGAACACGGTCAGTGTGACTGGTCGACACGGGATGCTTACTTCTTCATGACACTTGATTCCTACCTCTGATATTTTAGAAGTCCCCATCTGCTCTGCTTCCGAATGTATTGTTTTATGGATTTTTGAAAATTTCCAGGTTGATTTCTCCATATTTCTTTCAGTATAAAATTTAAAATTCACACAAAATATAAAATTACCATAAAGAATTTTAAAAAAAATTAATATTCATCAAAATAAAACCCCAAAATATAATACAATCTATACAGCATATTCTTTGAAACGAGTGACTTTTATATATTAAAAAAACGGCTTTGATGTATAAAATGTCCATGTTTAGAAAAAATGCAAAGCTTTTAGCGTATCTTGTGTACCCGTTTTAATGAAAACATATTAAATGCTTTTTATTCAAGATAAAAGAGACTTCTGTTCTTCGGAATACTACATGACAAAGGCGTGACATTGAATAATATCAGCACGATAATGATAATCCGATAAGTTTTGATGTCGTAGTGAGATCCAATGATACAGAATTGTTTACATTGTAGGTTAATATTCTCAACTTCTTAGTGATGGTTTCACACCAAAGTATTATAATTATATATGTATTATAGTGAGTAAAAACTAAACACTTACGTATTTTATCCTTGACGGTTCCCACCGTTTAATTTCAAGCATTGTCTAAAGTTATAGTGTGAATATTATGACAATGATTAAATATTACGCAATTTCTGAACTCTTTCAAATGAAATATATGGTTGTAAATCTCTCCAAAGAAATATGGAGATAAATTAAAGTCAACATGCTAAACTGTTCATTGAAATAATACACATCGGAAGCAGAACGAGTTAAAGCAGTCCTGAATATCAGCAACAAGTTGGGATTAAGTGCCATGAAAGAGTAAATATCCCTTATTCCTATTTTCATTTTTATGAGAAGCCTCCCATTTTAGAATTGCTTTAATTTCTTTAGGGAGGGGAATGGCGACTGTTAGCCAGATCACGTGGTTTTTCTGTAGTGTATGCCTCTTCACTTCGTCTGTCTGTCTAACCGTATCATACGAAAAAGAAAAACAAACAACAGAACAAGAGGTAAATTTATGCCATGCTATGATGATTTATTTGGTATTAAATGCCCATGTCATGGCTTAAACACTTCTATATACATGTACATGTATATCATTTTCCAGGAACGTATTGTGCTTTCAGCGGTGCGCCTTCTAAGACTTTTAAATCAACGACTTCCCCAATCGCATCATCAGACACAAAAAAGAAACTTAGGAACTGTGGATTCACTCTATAATTTACCAGATCTATTTTACAGAGGAAAAAAGTAGCCGATGTTCCAATTTACAAGTAAGAACACAAAACCACACAAAACCACAATCTAGAGTTTCATAAGTGTAAATGCAAATTACTTTAACTCAAGTCAACGTCAGCACAAAGAAAATACTTATCATTATATAATTTAAACAATCATAAAATTTAGTATGCATTAGGCAGCATGAAAGCCTTTTTATCATTACTTGCAGCAATGAGCTTGCATAAAAGGCATTAAGATTTTTTCAATGCTATTGGCTGTGGTATACATAATTTCATTTAGGGTTTTGATTTAACATTTATAAATGATAGTTTAAAATGCACGTACTTGCAAATCCATTTGTGGAAAATTTGAATTGAATTTGATGTGTAAAATTCCAGTGATATCAATTCATGTTATTTAATTGGCCATCTTTAAAAAAAAGAATGCCAGCCTTTTCTCGACTCAGCATAAGCTAGTGCTTGATGAAAAATTTTCCTACGTGCAACTCTGTGTGATTTACACACCAATAATCACACTATACTTTAAAACATTCCTTATATTACATTTTGCATGTTAAAATATCCAAAAATATTCTCAATAAATATTTTTTCGGTGACGTTGCATAACATTTTTAATATCTCCCTCTTTGTAACGTCACTTTGCACAAGTTTCACCTTGTATATATTACTATGCATGAGTAAACACAAAAGTAGGTTTCGAATTAATTTCACAGTTGTCTTATTTGAAAAACACAGAAAAACTAAGTATTATACAATTATGGAACCTTTTGGTGGTGAATATGGTTTGTTTTCACTAAAAAAATATAAATATTGACTGAGACGATAAATATTGACTAAGACGAAGCTGAAGTCAATATTAATATTTTTCTGGTGAATAACAGTACATATTTACCACCTAAAGAGCCCATAATTGTATAATTATATAGTCTGAGTTTGAGTTTAAAGCATTTTCCTTCACAAACTTTATTCGCTGAAATTTAAAACAAAAAGAGTCAAGATTACAATTTGTAATACTGTTTTTTCCTTTCTAAGTTTTTCCATGAGACATTTAAAAGTTTAGAAAATATCTCAAATACATAGCTGGTTCTGGCCATTGCAACCATTGTTTCCAACGATGTTTGAAGTGTCGATTGTGACTTCACAATGCCGCTGCACGGGCATTGACCCTCCGGTGAATACAGCTTTAAATCCGTTGAATTTGTAATGTTATTAAATATATGCGTTTGTATAGATTATATAGGTACTATTTATAGGCTATAAATGTAAATATATAAATCCAAAAGCTTATTTCAGACATTTCATTTACGAATAGTTCTAGCTGACACTGACTCTTTTCCACGCACTTTTTTTTTATTGAAATGACGTGCTTCTCGATTTTGAATTCGTGCAATATGACTGTCCTTCTTAGAGTACTAGTAATTTGTCTTGCATATTGACCTTTTTCTTTAGTATACGTTACTTATAATAACACTGGTATTTCGTGTGAAATAATAATCTGAAAGAATAGAAATATTTGCGCTTAATTTGGACATAAAAATATACCTCATTTGTTTATGTTCAGTTTAAGATTGGAAATGGATGCGGTTAATAATAATTATATAATAAATGTATAATATAGATATAATCCACTACGATTTTTTTATAGAATTAAAAATAATGACAAAGAATTTAAGAATAGTATGATGTTGAATTTAAATATTCCAAATTTAAATCGTTTTGATGATGTATAGACCTACATTGATGCGCATGCATTTGAAACTTACTCTTTCAAATATTTAACTTAAAAAAAATTCCCGTTGTATTTACTTTTATGTTTTTATTGTGTGATTTTGTACTACTATTTTATAACAAAGGTATAACAAAGGTAATCATTCCTCCATATATTTTGGAATTTCAATATAAATTACTATTCAACACATACTTCCATTCAACACACATTCATATATGAATGCATGTTGTTTTGATACAAACCTTCAATTTAAAGAGATACATGTATTAATCTTTAATTATCTTAATTTTCAGATTTTCTTCTCATCCTGTGGCGATAAGGAATGATATGTTGAAATAGACCGATGAACCAAGAACTCTTCCTAAATCAGCTTTATTCACTCCTAAGATTCTGAAAGAAAATGACAGTTATTTCTCCTTCACTATCGTCCAAAATGAAATATACGACAAACACAGTATTTAAAAAGAAACTTCACTCATTGAAGAAATCTCAAGGGCTTGTAAAAGTAATACCGTGTTTTAAGTATGTATTTATTGTTTGGGAGTTTGACAGATCATGCTGTCAGATACGTTTTAATTGCTTATCATTTTTATATTAAAATGCATAAAGTACAGGTACGCCTCTTTTATGCAACGGACATACAGTTGGCATTTCAAAATCTGCTCATTTTGGCTTAATTGTCCCTGCGTTTGATAAAAGTTTACAAATCAATACAAATCAAAATAATATTTTTTTTCTTTAGCAAAAACCGAGAAGCAGGAAAATCAGTTAAATAAAAAAAAGTTGTTATGGAATATAGCTAAAAAAGGAAATCATTTATTTAATCATCTTTATTTTTCATTTGCAATACATGTAAGTAACACCAGACAATGATTCTAAGACGAAATGATTACAGATTTCAATCTTGAAATACTAACAAATTATATATTATCATGTACGACAACGTGAATATATACGAAATATATTTCATTAAAAAACGTGTAGGATAATCAATAAAATATTTCATGTTTTGTACATTAAACAGATTTGAATATAAGATTTATTGTAGATAAACACAGAATGAATTTTCACTACATATAGTGTACTAATTGTACTGTCTACTGACTAAATGTTCATGGAAAGGTCACAGATATCAGTCATTCAGTCACGTTTAAGTAGACCTTCAGTCACCATTTAGTTCAATAAATGCAGAGTTTCATCTTGTGAACTTCAGCTTATTTGTCAGTATTCTCCCAGACTATTTAGTTTTATCTTTATTGAGAATATTAATGATTATATTTACATTTATTCATTCTTTGTTGCCATAGCAATAAAAACTGTACAAGGATTGTATGGATCAATTGACACAGTCATGCATTGTTAATGTTTTTTAAAATTTATATTGACATAGTTGTATCACCTTAAGTCTATAATTCTTCTAAATTAGCCAACAAAAATTCAAGAATTGCGTCAAGTGCGAATGTCTGAATTAAATTGAATCATTTCATACAAATATATGTTCAAATGTTTTTCTGCCTTTTATTCCTTACATTTAGGCTCATGCAAAAATGATGTGGGTAATATTTTATATTTAATTACATGTAGATTTCAGAGATAGCATATATTGATGTTTGCTTATATGTTAATTTAATGAAAGTCATGTTTAATAAATGAAAAATGCAAAATAGTAATTGTTTTACATAATTTGTATCCACCAAGCATAACTTTCATTCAGGAAAAGACAACCCTAATATGCATGAAATATCTCATGTTAAAGGCACATGTCCTTTTAAATCATGCATTAAAAGAGACTTCGTCAATAAATGGCTTGATATTAATACTATTTGAATTCATTATAGGTATAAACAAATTGAATTAATCGAGCTTTCTTGGATACTTTTCATTTGAAATTTTTATATTTCTTTGAAGATGAAAATATTTCTATGTTCTCTACTTGTTTACCATACTCGTATTGGTTTTGTCAAAATGTGGCACCGAAAAAGGACAATGTTGTATAAGGAAATCACGCACAAAGAAAAGATGATGAAGATATTTGAAATCTTTTAAAATAGTAAATTGTTACCATAAATGTAATTGAGAAAAATTACTTTAACATTTACGTATGAGACTTTTGTCTTTGGAACATATCTTTCATAATTTTAAATTTCAGAGAGTAACTCTGCACAAAGAAACATAGAGACCAGTCACAGCGATGAGAAATGCCATTATTGACTTGCACTTTACAGTCATGCTTATGCACTAAATACAGAAAATACTTGAGCTGCTCTGTTTTTGTGGCTAGGCAAGGCAAAGGGCTGTTTCTAAAAAATAGACCCCAGGATTGTGAGACTCAAACTGAAGTCAAATTTTCATTTGCCTGTAAAATGTATATTAATTATTGAATTATTCTCTAAATTTGAAGATTTGAATAATACAGTAATATAATTTAGGGATGAATGACTTCTACAAAATTTTAATACAATATAAACATTTTGATTAAAGTTTAAGATGTTTCAATATCTCGAGGTCAGGGCCTGGTACAGGGTCCTGTTGGGAATTTTGAAACAAAAAGTGGTAACATATGGAAATATTGATGTGATATTTTATGTTAAAATGTTGAATAAAGAGTTACTTTGATTCAAGAAGTGATGTGAAATAGATGTGGATATTCAAAAATTCAAAAGAACTTTTAGAAAATTTGAAATCACAAGATTTAACCAAAATCAACAGATTAAAAACTTACGACTTTTCAACTTTATACACAACCATTCCCCACGATAATTAAGGTCGAGGCTTTTTGATATTATGAACAGCTGCATTTTCAATAAAAATGGAACTCGTAAATTTACTTACTTGTTTATTGATCATTTGCAATATCATTTTGTTAAAACACATTCTGATTGTACACACAAGTACTCTGAAGTTGACATCAACAAAGATGCTTGAGTTTCTGATTAACAGTATCTAATATGTGGGTTTTGGAGACCAGGTATTCCAACAATCTATTGGAATTCCCATGGGTACCAATTTCGCTCCGTTATTAGCAGACCTATTTATGTATGCATATGAAGGAGAATTTTTGCAAAATCTTATGCATGAAAAGAAGAAAACACTTGTTGTGGCCTTCAACTCGACATTTAGATATATCGAAGACGTATTGTCAATTAACAATGGTAATTTTCATTCCTACGTCGATACGATATGTCCTGGAGAGCTTGAGATAAAAGATACCACAGAGTCTGACTCATTTGTTTCATACTTGGATATTTTACTTGAAAAAGACGTTAATGGTAATCTAACAACCAAGCTATATGATAAACGTGATGCCTTTAACTTTTCTATCATCAACTTCTTTTACTTATGCCAATATACCTTATGCATACAGTATATATTTCAATATACCTGCATCACGTATGAACAATTTCTAAAACGATGTAAATTATTTACAAGCAAGTTGGTGATACAAGAATATCAGCAGATTCGTTTAAAGCCATCATTTTGTAAGTTCTAGCAATGAACAAATACAATTCATCATTAAGTCGAATGTACGTTTTTGAACAATTGTTTCATTATTTATACATTGAATTGACGACGAATTTTCTGTTATTTCCCGATCATGACAAGGAGCACACGGCGGGTGTGACCGGTCAGCAGGGGATGCTCACTTCTTCATGGCACCTGATACCACCTCTGATGTTTTGGAGGTCCGTGTTTGGTCTGCTCCTATTTTGTATTGTTTTATGGACTTTGATATTGAATACTATTCGTTATCTCCATATTCTTCTTTGAAGGTTTACTCTCTATTCCCACCTTAAGGTATCTTAAAATCTCAAAATTTAAGTTTGTGTTAGTATAAAAAGTACAGTTTCAGGCTGTCTGTCATTTGGGAAATTTTTTACTTTAATTTGGGGAAAAAGTAAATTTTCAATTGGGACAGGGTCCATTCACAGGACCTGGATGCAAGGGTTATTTAACTTGAGATCGCATACAAATACGGCTGTATCTGATGAGAAATAATGAACAATAATTTTGGAACCGTCATGATTAGGTATAAACCAAAAAAGGAGCATATCAAAGTTGTACCAATTGTTACGTACGATTTATGCCTTTTGTAAGTGAAATAAAATTAAAATTATTTTAAACAATCAATTTTAAAATGTTATATGTTGCTTTGGTACATAATTTCGCATTGTAACAATGCGAGGTTAATTACTGCAGTATATTTTAAACCCCACCTGACACTGAATTTAAAAAAGTGCGCGGATTTGTGCATGTAAAACAATGGTTCTAAGTGTCAATGTCTTTTCATACAAACATTTCTTTACTTAGAATGAAAATATTTTTATCTAGAAAATGAAAGCATATAATTATGTTAACTTAAAATTACAAAGCACTATTTACATTACTGTCCATTAATAACAAAAATATGATGTTTTAATCTTTTATCTTTGCTTTAATCATGTTGGATGTCTGATTAGTTTTTAAAGTAAGATCATGCCTTAATTGACTTTTTCTATACAACGTTGCATTAAGTATTGCATTTACATTAACATCTTTGTTACATTAGTTCACAAACTTGTCTAGAATAGATCATGATAAATAGGACATCAGTACTGAGAAGTCCCTATATTTAAAAAGTATCGAAGAAAGCTTTATTTTTTTTCAGCTTTATATTACTGAAATCAAGGAAGGGAAGAAAAAAGTATGGGGAGGGAGCAGAAGCCTTGGTCGCCTGTATAAATGTTATGTTCAGCCAAGTAGAAGCCAATTGCAAGTAAAATACCTTTAGAAAGCTATCTGACTCAATTTTTAAAATCCCGATAAAAAATGTCCAATGTTCAAGAAAATAAATCCAAATGTTCACCTTTAAGTGCAGATGATCTACACGTAGAAGTTTTCTACAATGTAAATTCACACATATTCTTTCATAAGTATATTGTAGTTATATAAAGGAATATATTTACCCAATTCCATTTTTTTTTAACCAAACAGTGATAATTAGAAAAAAAAAATTCTGAAAACTGAAACTTATGTATATATTCTTTAATCACATAGTTTTTTTCCAATCATAGAATATATATGACTAACATATATTCCTTTCGTGACCACTGATTTAAGAACATTATCATGGTAATTTATTATCTGTTTGGATCAGGGATGGGGTAATTGAAAAAAGTAATTGTAATTGATTGTAATTAGTTCATTAAAACATATTACACGGATATTAAAGCGGTGCAACGAATTATATAGGACAAAAATGAATGATGGATTTGGAAAGAAATTGAAAATGCAGATATGAAGAATATCCACAGAAAATTAAGCTGATGCTGAAGGTACACTAGTCCATTTCATTTTTTTTATGTTAAGCGTAAACATATACCTTTGTTTTTGATGTTCCATTTAAAAAAAAATTCAAAATATCAGGTGTTTTTTTGAAAATCTTAAATTTTTTCAAAATTTGTTGCAAACTTTAAATTAAGTATTGATTATCATATGCTGACATGTAGTTACCTTGATTTTGCAAGGAATTTTCATTATCATGGTAAAATAATATCAAATTGTTTGAATGTTGTTCTTTATAAAAAGTAAAGTTTGTGTTTTATTTTAATTAATTACAATTTTCAAAGTATTTGGTGCTTTTGTAATTGCACACTTTGCTTTCAATTACAAGTAATTGAATGTATTTAAAT